TAGAGAGCCCAGAAATAGACCTACACATGAATGGTCAATTAAATTTCAATATGCCAATGTCATTTAATGGAAAATATAGAAAAAAATGAACCTTGATACATACCTTGCACTATACACAAAATTAAACTCAAATGTGTCAAAGACCTAAGCATGAAAGAAAAATTACAAAATTTCTGGAAGAAAACATGGGAAAAATCTTTATGTCCTTGGAGTAGGCAAAGGCGTTAATCATAAAAGAAAAAAATGATAAAGTGGATTTTATTTAAGCTAAAATTTTCTGCTTTTCAAAATTTCTCCTTAAAGAAATGAAAAGCGAGCCACAAGGTGGAAGAAAATATTTTGATACATATACCTAAAGAGAACTTTTATCCAACATTTATAAAGAAACTTACAATTCAATAATAAAAAGAAAAATGACATTTTAAAAAATGGCAAAAAATTTTAACAAATACATCACAAAAGAAGGTTTATGAATGGTCACAGGAAGACATTCTCAACATTGTTAGTCATCATGGGAATGCAAATTAAAACTGCCGTGTGACACCAGCAACCATCCACTAGGATGGCTGAAATGAAAACTTCTGAAAATATCAGGTGTTAGAGAGGATGTGGAGCAACCAGAATCGTAGCACTTTGCTGGTGAGAGTGTAAAATGAACAAACACTTTGGCTTGGTAGCTTCTTATAAAGTTAAATGTACATTTAATATATTCTACTCCTAAGTATTTACACAAGAGAAAGGAAAACATGTCTCCACATGGATGTTCATGGAAACTTTATTTAAAATACTACAAACAAGAAATCTTTCAAGCATCCTTGAACAGTTAATGGATAAACAAATTGTGGCATCTTCATTAAAGGAATATAAAGCAGGATCAAAAGCAATGAAGAAAATCTCTTGTGATCATAAGACTCCATGTAAAAATTTTCTGGTGATTATTATTAATAATAGCTGATTAAAAGAACATAAGATAAATTCTATAAAATATCAAGAATGATATAGGCTTCAGCATCAATTTTTTTTCTATTTGTTTCGTGTGTTTATAGATGTAAGCACTGAGCATTATGTACACTTGCATTGTAGATGGGCAATGGAGGTTTTGCCGTGGCAATGTTACTGAATTATTGGATGTCTCTGTATGCCAGTAATCACATTGTGATCTACCAAAAAAATATTTTCAGCAATCTTGCTAAAATGAACAAGATTGGAAAGCTTGTTTGTTGAAAATCACTTAATTTGCAAAAGGAGTTAGTCCATACTAGAGTCATTCACTCTTTCCATACAAAAAGCAACATTTCCAATTGTTCCCTCTATTTGGTGTCTTAGAGGGTTATACCAGGGCAACGTACCATAGCAGATTCTGGATGGCTAAGAGGTGAACCTTTCTTTTGTGAATTATGAAGGGGAAGGTGAGAAAATAGAACATGTATAGAGTATCCTCAGGAAACTCAATTTTAGAAGAGTACATATGAAAGCTGATGAGTTGTAAATTGATTCCCTTAAAACAATGCATGCCACAGAATACCCTTTAGAATGACTGCCCCCTGGGGAGGCATCCATGGTCTGAAGACTACTGCTCTAACAGCTCTCCATTCTCACTTCTTGCCTCCTGCAGTCCATTTTCTTGACAGCAACAACTTTAGCAATATATTTGGCAATGAAAATCAGATTTTCAAAATATTCTCCTTCATTGCTTTTCATTCAAAACCCACCTATACATGCCTACTGCAATTAGAATAAAGGGCAAACTCCTCAAGTCTGAAGCCGGTCAGTCTCTTCTCTCGTTTTATACTTCTCTCCTGCATTTCTGTGTTCCAGATAGATATGTCCTTCTGTTTCTCAGACACATCGCATTCACACCTATCCTGATCTTTGTCTCCTGGTTACTCAATCTAAAGCAGTCCCTGTAGACGCTCCTTGTCTTATTGCTCTGTTTCACCTTCCTAACATTTATCACTGTCTGCTATCGCTTGCTCCCTCTTCTAATAGGCTTCATGACAGCAAAATCAAAACCTTTCTTGTCTTTTTTTTCTCTTCATTACCTAGAACTGTGCCTCGTATGTTCTCAAAAAAACATTTTTCAAATGGGTGAGTGAGCTGATGAATAAATACCAAGTAGTTTTTATAAGCATTAGTTTTTAGAAGACGTTTTGGCATTGTTGAACAACAAAAAATTGCTCTATTTTCTGATGTGATTTCATTATTTCCTAGAGCTAAAAGATTCATGTGATATGTCTCTCATTTGACTGTATATCTCTAAGGAACCTTCGTCTGCAAGACAATTTAGAGAAGGGAGAAATTTCAACAAGTTCAATTAATTGCACGGTAGTTTCCCTTAGGACATTTCCAACACTCTTCTTAGGTTTTATTCGTAAAAGAGCTTCACTAAGTGACTATAATAGACAGCATTTGTTTGAAAAGTGTCACCTCCAGACCTGTGGCTTTATTGATTTCTACACTGCTTTTACTTTTGAGGCATCAAAGTCAGAAACAAAATGAATTTCATGTTAAATGGTTGATTGTAAAGGGGATTATTTTCTCCAAAGACTTCTGAAGAAATGTTGTGTTTCTGAATCGGATAAGATTAGGTAGTAATTACTGTCCTGAGCTGAGCAGTAGCTTCTATTATTTCTACAGTAGTATTTAGCACAAGATGATGCTGTAATTACTAAGAATTGACTAAGGATAAAATGGTGGCCAAATGAGAAACTATGAATTGAGGAACTATTTCAGGGATAAAGGTCAGCATGAATAAACCTTAATGGAAAAGAGAAGAAAGTAGGGGTTAGGATAGTGAAAGATAATGGTACCTGAAGGAAATTGTATCAAAAGAGAAAATGTTTCCCCATAACTCCTTATAAAGTCATCATGAAATACAATAGCATAATACCATGAAGAAAATAAGTTAAATATCCATGTTCAGAAATATTGTGGGAGACCTGAATTCAGTTTTAACTTGTTCCTCCTGTTCCCTCCACACACTAGTGCAAAATCCATTTGTACCGATTTCTAAGATTTCCCTCCCCAGTGGTAAAAGCCAATTAAAGTTATGCATACATTTCAAAAATCAGACCTGCAAAGAAGCTGGAAGTGGTTTGTGATAAAACTAAACCAAAAAACAAAAAATACACATTCAGAGTAATGTTTTAAATACCAGCAAATATATGTTAAAATTAGGTGTGATTGAAGTTATTCTTACCTATGTAAGAAGGTACAATTTTTCTTATTCTTGGTAAGAAATTCCTAGTTATTTTCAATGAAAGGAGATTAAAAGGTCTAGAATAATATATCTGACTTTTATTTAACAGTCTGTTTTCCTGTTTGGTGGTTTAAAAAATTTGTTTTGAAGAAGAAAGTGACTGTCTTATTAGCTCAGAAATAATATATTTGGTAAGTCAATCCACTTCCATATTTATAACATAATGATGATCAAAGTCATTATAATTCGTAATGAAAATGCTAAAGTTTTCAAGTGTTTTAGAAGTTAATTTTTCAAAATTGGCATTCCCGTTCCTTTTGAGTTTTGGAATGTTGCTTTATAGGATTATAAATGCCCAAGTAGGCAGTTGTGAAAAAAATGGAGGGGAACTTTAGCTTAGAGTTGGAAAAATGGATTTTGACCTTTAATTTTATTTGTTAACCATGCAATGGGAGATGTTATTTCGTAAGTATGAGTAATAATTTCCTCAAGTGTAAAAAATAGGACCAAAAGTAATCCTCACAGTATTACTACAAGGATCAACTGAAAATATGGCTATGAAGTTGTTCATTAAAATACAAAGTGCAAAATAAAAGGAAAAGTAGATACTGTGCGACTCCATTTATATGAAGTTCAAGAAAAGCAAAACAACTGTATAGTGATAGAAATCAGAACAGTGATTATGGGGAATTGGGCTACTAACTGGAAAGGAACACAGGGGAACATTGTAGGGTGATAAAATAGTCTATGCTTTTATCTAGGTGGTAGTTAAAAGATTACATACAATATAAAAAGTAGAGATGTGCACTTAAGATTTATGCATTTTGTGGTAAATTAAACCTCAATAAAATAAGCAGAAGGAAAATATTACTGTCATACTTATCCATGTTCCTTTGCACGGCCACAATGGCAGTCATGACCTGCTCCTTGTCTGCTTTTCTATTCTCAAGTCTGGCCACTTCATTCTTTGTTTTCAATCAACTTTTGGACCAATTGTTATTTCCTGGCCGCAACATATGCCTTTTTACAGGTGAAAAGAAATTGTAAAAGGTCTACCTCTTTGCTTATTTACATCTTATTCCAACCTTGCCAAGCAAACTTCAAGTCCTCTCTCAAAGCAGAGCTCATCTGCCACTCATTCCAAAAATCTTTCCAGAAATATTCTACATGGATAGAGATAATCAGATAATCCTCCTTTGCAGGGCTAGCTTCATGGGCATGCAATCTTGGCAGTAGCATGCTGTCCCAGGCTTAGAAAGTTCTTGCACTTGGTTAACACTGTGCTGTAGCCATCTTGAAATTCTTAATTTTTCAACAAGGGAACACGCATTTTCAATTTGCACTGGGTCCTGAAATTATGTATTGGGTCCTGCTCTTTTGACCTTTTGCTCTACCTGTATCAGCATCATTTTTGTCAGGATTTATTATTTACTTCTCTGACTCCCTGACTTACCAAGAATCCCTTTAATCATGACTGTCTTTCAATTTCTATTCCAATAATTTAGCCTAACTCTTAACATTTAATGAGCAGTGAATGAGTATTTGTTGATTGATAGATTTGCTAATTGACCCATTAATTGGATGAATTAATAGCAGAGTGAATTAATTAATGTTATTGGATAACAGAGTGATATGGCAAGCTAAGAAATGATAACAGAGTTGAGTAGTAAATTAAAAATTGTAATCGCTCATTAATCAGATCTGTGAATTCATTCACTAAACATTAAGTACCTACCCTGTGTTAGAAGACTTGGTTGCCTGGCACTTATAACTCACATCTATCATTTCGTCTCCTTGACAGCCTGATTTGACCGTCCTCCTCCCCCACACGCCTGGGCCAATGCAACAGAGACCTCCTTGCAGCGTCTTGGTCCCTAAAGACCACGGCAGAAACTGAAGGTAAATCTGGGGAGAATCAGTGAGTTTTAAGCAAGCTGCCATACTGTTTTCAAGCTTACTTTCTAATTTTCTTTTAAACTCTACTCATCTTATATCCTCATAAAATCATTCCTTGGCAACTCACTTGGCAATTTACTCCTTGTCAATTCAGTGAAAAACAGAAGACAGGTGAAAACGACTAGGGAAGTGGTATTGGATACATTGCAATATTCATTTTGTTTCAGAGGCAAACCCTCTATAAGGCAACTGTTGGAGACACCGTGATTTTCACCATGTTCAAACTCCACCAGGATTCTCATTGAGCCTCTCGTAGTGGTTTCTAATCTTTTAATAAATGAGCAATGTTGTTATTAATAGCTATATTACCATTCCCCAAACCCATTCCTACTCCCAACCCTGAAAGTAACTTAGCACATTGTTATTTTCTCCAAGAATTTGCTTGCAATCTAGTCTTTACATACTGTCTCAAAATAATTTGTTTCCCTTCCTCTAAGAATTTTTCAGTTGATGAAAACTTGTACTCTTTGGCATCACAAACTGCCTTGCTCAAGCCCAGACTGCGCCTGGACCACCCAGGGAATTAATCACAGCGTGGTGTGTGACAAGACACACTCTCCACAGACTGCTCAGAAGTTGCATTTCTTCATGAAGATAAAGTACTAAAGGCTCCACATCATTTGCCATCTGTAGAAGTAAGGCCTTCCTTGTCATTTCTAGCATTTTAATCCTGTGAGTCTGGATTTCATTTCTTTCCAGTTTCACAGGAAACTAGAATGACTGCATTAATCCCAATCCATTGAAAGCACAGTTTCTAGTTTTCCTCCTTCCCACACATATCAGAAGAGGTCATCTGAATGAGATGTAGGCCAATACAGACCTGGAGCCCTCTACTCGCAGAATTGCCATTTAGTCTAGCCCAAAAACTTTTTCTGAACCATTTGTGCTAAGAGATCCAGAAGGAGAACTTGTTTTTAAAGTAAACTTAAAGTAATAATTGATGTAAACTTCTATTGCATATAAATACGCTTTGAGGGCTATGAGCTGATCTAGATCATGTTTGAATCATTATAATAATGATTTGTGGCAATAACTCTAATACACTGTGATGTTAATTCAGTTTGTTTACGTCTTGCTGAAGGTGTTGAGAGGAGGTAGCTAATAAAGATATACCACCAAAGACAGGACTGGATGAAATCTGCCTATCTTCACACACACATACACAGAATATACTATGTGAGTATAGTGTGTGTGTGTGTGTGTGTATGTATATATGTGTGTGTATGTATGTATATGTTCATATATATTTATATATATGTTTATGTACACTATACATATATATATTGTGTGTGTGTTTGTGTGTATGTGTAACCTGGTTCTACGAGCCCTACAAGTTGAAGCATAAATGGAAGAGTGTAAGTTACAAAATGCTCATTATCTAAGAGGAAAAACTTTTTCTTGCTATAATCTCCAGGAGAAGTTATCAACATGAGGTATTTCACAGCCTTGGTTGATAACAAGCTTTCTTAGTTTTCTTCCTCAGTCATTGATCGTTTCTTCATAGCCTTGGTGGACGTGTTTCAATAACTGAAGTTTAGACATTGGAGTGTCCGGGATTATTTCCATGGACCCCTCTACTTCCCTACATGCATTCACTCCCCCCGTAATCTCGTCTAGTTCCTGGGCTTTCAGCAACATTCCCCAATTTTTATCTTCTTTGTGGATTTCCTCTGTGAGCTTCAAACTCAGTTAGCCCTGGTGCACCTCCATTTCAATAGCAATAAACACTTCAGAATTAACGTGTACAATGGGAAACTCCTGATCTTCCCTCAAAATCTGCTCTAAGTGCAATCTGTCTCATCCTATCAGCTGCTGAGGCCAGAAATCTTAGAGTTTTTGGTTTTTTTGTTCTTCTCCTAGTTTCTCTCTTTAATTTACCATATATAATCCATCAGGAAATTTGTTGGCTCCACATTCAGAATAAATTCAGAATCTGACCACCATTCATCCACTCCACCATTGAGACCCAGTCCAAGCCACGAGCATCTTTTGTCTGGATTATTGTAGTGTATTCCTACTTAGCTGACCCATTTCTTCTCTTGCCCCTGTGCCTCTGAGAAGACAAATGAGGAACAACCAGCTCATAGGTGCTCAATGAAGAGCTTTGGAACAAAATGCAAGAAGGCATTGTTCTTAAAGTATGGTTTCAAAGGAAACTTAGACATTGACTCCAAGTGACTTTCTCAGAAATCTTAAAAAAAAGTCGCAGATGTAAAATAAAAATAAAACTCAAGGGAGGCCATTCTAAGTGGAGCTAAGGTAAGTAGGTAGCCTTCACACACTCTGCCATGCCTCCACCTAAGGAAGGCATTGTTCATAGCAGAAATACCTTTTCCATATCCCTGCTCATCAAGACTTTCCCTCACTACTGTATTTAAAACTGTGGTAACCTGGTCTCAGCCCTCACTAGCTTTTCCTATTCCTTTGATCTTTTTTATGTTACTTCATAGTACCATTGACATATTATATATTTATTTCTATATAAATACATATATATATTTTTTTGCTGAGGAAGATTTGCCATGAGTGTTACATCTGTTGCCAATTTTCTTCTTTTTGCTGATGAAGATTTGCCCTGAGCTAACATCTGTTGCCAGTATTCCTCTATTTTGTATGTGAGCTACCACCACAGCATGGCCACTGATATGAATGGTGTATGTCTGTGCCTGGAAACCGAACCAGGGCTGCCAAAGCAGAGTGCGCTGAACTTAACCACTAGGCCACTGGGACTGGCCCATATTTCTATATTTTTTATTGTTGGTTTTCCCTATTAGAGTGTAACAACATAAGGGCGGAGTTTTTTGCTGTTTTGTTCACATTCTATTCCCAGGTCTAGAACAGTGCACAGCACATAAGTTTTATTGTTCAGGTCACAGCAGAGAATAAAATTCTATTCAAAGAGTAAGAGTTATTTTTTGCTGATTTGTTTGTTTGTTTTAAGGAGAGAGTATATAAGGAGGTATGTAAGGAAAAAAACAAGGGATTTGAGGCACCCAGAAATTAGCAACTGTGGGAGCGGGAAGTCCTTAATAATCCTGAGGAGCGGGAGGAAGTAGGGAGGCTAAAGAGGTACTGGAGCTCAGTGAGAGCTGAAGCCATGGTGGGGGGTGCCTGCCAGGAACTGCAGTCACACAGCCTGAAGCAATGAGGGGGCAGGGGATATATGCCCTGACCTCTGTCTCTGCCTTTAAATCTCCTGCTGATGCTGTCCACTGGTCAAACCCAATGGAAGGCCAAGGTCAATGGAGCCCAGCAATATAGGTTGGGGTCAGCTTCCCAGGGCACAGAGCCAGGCGGAGAGGATGAGAATGAATCTGAGGGACAATTGGAGAACAACCAGCTAATATGCACTTAATAAATACCAATGGAACAAATGCAAGGCAATGTCCTTAAAATACAGTTTCAAAGGAAACTTAGAAATCGAATCAAAATGCCTGTTTACGTCAGAGACCTTCAAAAATGTCAAGGACATAAAATCAAAATAAAACTCAAAAGAGGCAATTCTCAGAGAGGTTAATAAAGGAGGTTCTAACATGAACCAAGGAGGAATGGCTATTTGCACAGTGGACCCTTTGGTCAAATTAAAGTGTTCACAAGGAAGGGCAGATATACATGTCCCCAAATTTCACAATTCTCTGTAAGTTCTACCTGTAACTCCTTTGTTTAACTAGGTGGCATTCACGGATTGCATCATTAATTCAACTCCCTGCCATGCTGCAGCTCTAGGCTGCTCAGCTAGCATTCACGCAAGGTGCACGGGCTTCACAGTGACAACTGATCAGATGACAGGGCCAGTCTGTAAACACCACACGCTTCCTGCTCTCTTTGATTGTATACCCTACTTTTGGTGAGCTCTGCTTTATGACAAGAGATCTAGGAACCGATCTGACATCAAGAAGCCAGAATAGCAGACATCACAGCCATCACCCCCTGCGTGTAACAGGGGAGAAAAGGTAAAACTCAACTTTCAGATCTGAGGTTTGAGGGAGGGATTCTTTTAAGCAGCCATGCCGCCTGGAACTAGAATTTATTATTTCTGTAAATAGTAAGGAGACACAGGTAAGAGATGAAAACCGCAAAGCAGCTGCTGAGGCTTTCTGCTCTGAGGGATTCGAGAAGCTCAAAAAACTTCCCTCAGCAAAACTGCCCTTTATACTCTGTCTGCAGATTTACTTCTGCTTCAGGAGGAAAGCTTGGAGCAGAAACAGCCTGTGGAGAGCCCACGAGTCGGAGAGTTGGGGGTTATGCTTGTGTGGCTTTATCTTTCCTCTTAAGTAGGTAGGTTTGGAAAGAAAGAAACAGAAAAAGACAGAAAACAATGAAAGGAGAAATACAGTTGCCCATTTTTATGGTCATATAGATGAAAAGCACATTCTGCTTTTCCTCCTTTTGCTCTCATCAGAGGCCCACAGAATAGGGCATTCAGGAAGAAAGAGACAAAGCAGCATGTTTCATGCCATGTCAAGGAGCAGGCCCATCAATTCAGCAGCCTGCAGAGCTCCCCTCCCTGCAAAGCGTTTGTTGCTGAAACAACATTATTGCTGGCTTTGACTCAGGAAGCTCTAAAGGCAGTTTTTCCCCTGTAGCTATGAGGTGCTGACCTCACTGCTGGAATTGGAAGATAAGAAAAATGTTTTAATCCATATGTTAATTATTGAAATTAGAACTGCCAAACAAATATTTTGGAAAACTTCAAGTTGCTTCCAAACGTGGCACTTTCCATTTTAAGCCCAAAGTGTAATTGTGTATTCAAAGGCTCAGATCTTCCCTAAGATTCATGCATTATGTATGCTGTACTTCCCTGGGACACGGAGGATGTCACGCTCTGCATCCTGCTGAAATGGGGAAATAATTTCGGACCGAGTTGGACTTGAAAAAGTATCAAAATTTATAAAAGAAAAGAAAAGAAAAAACTTGGAACCCACTTTTTGGGACTCAGAAACTTTCCTAATATAGAGACTTTCTTTTGGGTAAAAAATTAAGATGAAAATCTTAATAACTACAGAAGTATCTGTAATTATTCTTTTTTGAAAAAAAAAGGTATTTCTAAAAGAGATTGTTCTCGAACAAGGTTCAGCACGCTTTTTCTGTAAAGGGCCAAATACTAAATGTTTTAGGCTATGTGGTGACATGATCCCCATCATAAATACCCAACTCTGTCATTGTGCTGCAAAAACAGCGACGTTTCAACAAATTGGTGAGACAGTGTTCCAATTAAACTGTATTTACAAGGACAGGTGGTCAAACAGATTTGGCCTGCAAGCTGTAGTTTGACAACCCCTGGTGTAAAATATGCTTTTACATATTAATTACTATTTTTACTAGGCAAGTTAAATATTTAAAAACATACAATATTGCCTACTTTTGTAAGTTGAAGATTCTCCTTATAAATTCCTGGCCTCTTTCATCAGCTGGACAAGTACAGATTTCCCCACATCAACATCAATTAAGAAGGGAGACATTTATACTGCCAATATCAAAGTGCTCCTCAGAACAGATCAAGCATCCTGTCTGTATTGGGCTTAATATTTCCATCGTCAGATTTAATAAAATCTTAATAGTTTTCAAAGCCAGGCCCACAAACATTTTCTCTAACTTCTGCCTCAAAATTATATGTTAAATTCAGCCACTGGTACCCAAGGCAGTTCCATTGCAACGGCTTTCTGCTGCTCTAGGCCAGGCCAGGCTAAGGGAGTTTGAACATCTGTCTCTAGCAACTCCACTCAGAGTCTCTATTCGGAGATTCCTGTCAAATCAAATGAAAAGGGGTAGAATGTAATAACATCCCTTTAGATTCACTGCCTGATTCTCATTTAGTTGTCCTGATTTCTTTTAGTCTCTGGGCGCATCTGCCGGTGCTCATTTTTATGGCTGATTTATGGTAAAGGTTTGATTAAGATACCTCCATATCTTGCAATGCTTAAAATATGCAGCATGGAGCAGGAGAAGAGCAGAGTTTAAACTGTCAGTTCAAGGTCAACCCGAAATATTTTAGTCCCTCCAGCCAAGCCAGTGAGGTTGGCCAACTCACTAGTCTATTCACAGACAGCCTATTGCTTCATGTTTGGTGCATCTGGGAAACTCAGGGAAACAGACTGCTTTCAAAACAAGCCCTATTTTTT